ATTAAGGTGTTCAGAAAAAAAAGCAACAAACCCCCAAATATTTATTCTGAGTGGCTGAGCCAATGTGATCTTACAGATATGGTGACATCCAACCCTATGGATTTGTAAACTATTCCAGTGTGAAAAAGGTGTTCTACCTACAGGACAGCAGGGAGAACTCACGGAGGGATAGCATCCACTATAGCTTTGTTTCACCTCAATGCAATAAGAACTTGGCTCTTCAGGTCAGGGAAAAAAGGAACTAAGAAGCTTAATGAAGGAAATTAGTTTGGTGTTTCTCGATTTCAAGCTATATTTATATTTTGACATTTCAGAATGAAAAAAAGACATCACCACTTGTGACTTTTCCTTGGTGTCCATGAAGAAAAGTGCCTGAGGCATCGCATTTGCAGTGAATCCTTCTCTATGGCAGTGACATATAGAGGTCAGTTTTTAGTTATACTTGTTTTGTCCTAAAGGATTGTCCTATGTCTTTGTCTAGTAAAAAGTGCAAATAAAGTGGCATTTTCTGCTTTTACTAGCGACAAATAATCCAACCTGGTCATAGGAGTAAATGCTAGAGTTTAAAGAAAACTTAGTTAAAATATTCACAGCTATATTCCAACCACTTAGAGTTGGAATTTGGATGCCTTCAGCATTTCATAGATGTATTATATTCAAGCCTAGAACTGAAATGATGGTTTGTTTAACTCTGTAAAACTGAACTTCACTCAAGAATATTCTAACGCAAGTTAAAATAAAACACTCCCAGCTTAGTACAGTACTACAGTGCAACTCAGAAAAAAGGGTTTCACACTTTTTGATGACACAATGAACCAACACATCTTTTCTGTTTCTTTTTTTCTTACCATTTTATAAAAAGATAAGACTGATCTGGGAAATTACTGGATTACATTAATAAAATCTGTCTCTCATCCTTTCCGATTGGCAGCCAGCATTTTTGGAACTGAGTGTGTGTCAATCTGCTGTCCTTCAAGGATTTTCTAGCTTCTCTTTGTATTTAAAATAGCTTATAATGAAATCAGAATAAATTCTATTTCTATTATAAATTTTCTTCATGTTTGAATACTGCCAACAGCGCAATTTGAATTAATATATCATAATTTAAACCCTGTTTCTGATGACTTTCCAGTTTCTTGCTCCAGAAGCAGCTACAGTCAAACCAACAGGAATATATTTCATGTTATATCCCATTTGGTTTATAAAAAGCATAATTTGACCTGTAAATATTTATTAATTTCATCAGATAACACAATCACAATATATTTTAAAGGCAATCTATCCATGATGCTGTGTTGGTTTTTTGGGGGCGGTTGGTTTGCTCAGGTTTTTTTTGGGGGTGGGTTGTTTTTTTTTTTCTTGCTTAATGAAGAAGTTGATATCACTACTTCAGAAACACGTTGCATTGCTCCATTTCTCAGAGATGGTTTTTCTAGCTACACCAACACATTTTTCTCTCTCTCTAGAAATGGCTTAGCATGCCATATATATATAAAAAAATTACCCTTCTTAACAAAACTTGCTAGTAATGATCTTCACATTTTCTAAAATGCACAAAAGTCATGGTACTGCACCGACTAAAGCACAAATGTTGCTTTTAAATGAAGTCCTGATAAAAATAAACCAGACACTGACTTACAAAAGCTTGTAATAACAGTGTAGCACAAGACATTTTTGATGGCAATCTATGCAGGAACAGCAACTGAACCTCACATACCCTATCACTAGAAGCACGTATCACAAGCTGCTTGTGACAGATTTTTAATTAACATATTTTGCCTCCTCCAAATCAAGAGGATGGTGTAAATCAAAGCACCTTCTTTGACTTAAAGGGAATACTGTCAATATGCTTCAGCTGAGGATCTGTCCCCCAGACCTGCATGTTGCACTCTGGCTTTAATAAAAGTGTTGTGTGCCTTAGCAAGCAGATTTAATCACACAGTCTGTCTAATTTGGCTCCACAGAGGCCTGCTTTCCTTGATACACAATGGGTATACATGAATGGGCCCATTTATATATTAATGAACAATAATAATGTGGGGCTATACATGTCCAAGATGAACAGACCTACCAATGTAAATCAGGGCCTAACATCCTAGAATATATTGATTTCACTAAGAACTAAGGCTTTCTATCTTGGACAAAGAAGCACACATAAAGCAGCACAGGCTCACATCTGGACAAAATTTTACCCACTTTATGCACGTCCCTGTCCCTTTCAGACAGTACATTCCTCAAGAAGAACATTCACCAGCTCTGTAAAACCAGCATTTCACAAGTTAAATCCTCAAAGTCCCTGCATGAAGCAGTTCATCTATAATGAAACCCTGCAGACCTACCTGCAGTGTTCATCACATGCCTTGCCACTTCTGCATCCTACAGTATGGTCAAGGATCATCTACATGCAGAAGGAGAGAACTCCTCCTTCTCCATCATCAGATGTTCTTGGACTTCCACTCTGTACATCTGACACAGAAACTCTGACTCAGAGAAGGCTGTAGCCATCCTGCCAGGATAAGCAGAGTTGTCTTTTTGAAGCCCTTGTATCAGGCAGATCAGAAGGTGATGGAAGCAAAGAAACAGGCCTTCTGGAAGTGATCAAACTTCCAGAGTTTCAGAGAATTTGGAGTCTTTAATACATGGTTTCTGTCTCAGGGAAAGTTTGAAAGTGATAGCAACAAGGAATTTCTGCATTAAGTCTTTCAGGTCCATCATGCTGTCGTATCACACTCTGCAACCTCCACTTCAGCAGAGTAAGAAGAGTGGTGCATACTGCAAAGGCACTGTATATTTATACAAATACGACCAGGTCAAGACTACAGTTTTGCCCAAATAAAGTGTAATGGGTGCTTGCTAATGCTGTGATGCCAGCAAAAGAAAAGAGAGGATTCATCTAATGTAGCATCTAGGGATGCACTAAGAGCAGCTTCATCCATACCTTAGGACTCTGCCAACACAGGTATCCTCTCATTTTTGTGACATTTCAGAATTAGCCCTGTGACACTACTGATCCATGCTAGGATTCTTTGTTCGTTTGTTTGGTTTTAAGCCATGGATATTTGCATGCAACTGCTAGGTCATCAGTGTTGACCACTGGTCCCATAAGGATCCTCAAACACAACCTTCAAGAAGAAAACAACGGAGAAAAAGTAACTGAGCAAAGGATTTCAAATGTAATCTGTTAATCTCCCATACCCCAGGCAATTTAACTATTATCTTTGCCTTTGTTTTTCTTGTGTACTACAGGGGGTTAAAAATAGATGACTAAAATACTTAGCTCCTTATTAAGCAGTAGAATTCAGTTTAATGTGTCCTGCAGGGCTGTAACATTAACATGTCTAATGAGATAGGCACAACACTAAACTAATGACACAGTATAAAATGGATCAGGAGACAGGTACATAAACATCCATGGCTAATGAGGCTAGGCTTACACTACAATTTTTGTTCAGAGCAGGAGCGAAGTTTTCTTCCACACTCATATGATCTAACTTTATGTGGTAGAGCAATCTGTGAATACATGAACTGGACTCAACTGAAGATGTGCTCCAGGTGTGCACCTAAAGTGCTCTGACTGATAGTGAGCAGTCCATGGGACCAAATGGAACATAGTCCAAATTAAAGCCCTGATATCTGGCTAAGAAATCGGACTAAGAGACTGGCAAAAAACTCCCATTCTCACTAATTTTCAGCTACACTAATAACATTAAACTAATAACTTCTGGCTTCATCCTTATTTACCAGATTTTATATATTTACTCTACTTTCTCTTTCTGACACTTCTAGCACCACCTGGTGCCTACCTCCTCCAGCTTTCTGTACACCATTGCTGATCTGACACCCATTAACAAAATTCACCTCCTGATCTCAATGTTACATGTTCCAAAACAAGTGAACATAGTGAACGAGTAAGAGAAAGGAGACTTCTAAGAGGTCAGAGCTCAACTCTAACACTGGCACTGCAAGCACTTCTCATCACTGCAAGATGCCCGGAGATGAGCACAACAGTGCCAGGTCAGTACATTACATCAGTTGTAGTCTTTCACAAAGTCAACCTGAACGGAGAGAGGTTTGAACTAAACTAAATGCAGTCCTTGCCCCAGTAACCAGTATCTGAGAAGGCAACAACATCCTGAACACATCTGCATAGCGGAGTTTGGCATTTACAATATGTGATTCCAGATTTGCACAAAAAGTAGCTAGAGCAACTGGAGGGCAGTCTTCAAGATCTAAGACATCTGGCTGCACCTTCCAGAGGTTACTATAAAGAGGAATCAAAATCCTTAGGAATAATTATTCCTG